GACGGAAATTCATGACTATTTCAAAAAACTAGCCAGCAAGGAATGGTCGACGAAGGCAGAGCACAGAAGATCGAAACTATGCTGGCCAGAATTCAATAGGAAGAGAACCGCAGAACTGATCTCCAAGAGCAAAAAGGACATCAGGAGGATAGCGGCAACCATCACCGGCCACTGGCCAATAGGCACGCAAGCCTGCAAGATGGGTCTACCCTACAACCCACAATGCAGAAGCTGCAAGGAACCAAGCGAGCAGGAGACACCAGAGCACCTGTTGTGCCACTGCCCGGCACTCAACAGACAAAGAGCCCGACACTTCGGAGCACACCAACTCGAGTCACTAGGTGAAGTTGGGAGGCAGCCAGTAGCGGCCATCCTAGCTTACCTGAATGACACGGGTTGGTACTAAGAAGGGCGCAGACAACAGCAAATCGAGGGTGTGGATCAAAACGGAGCTCTGCTCCAATTGGAGGCGGCCAGGGCTGCCTCACCACTTTACCTACCTACCTACCTATACACAGTAAACCTTAGTCTGAATATGTTTATAACTTTTAAAAACATTTCTACAAATAGTACTCTTACATTTCTGCTCGACACAGGAGCAGATATATCACTAATTAAAGAAAACTCAGATGTCTTTGATAACATTGAGAAAGAAAAAACAATAAATATTGAGGGCATTGGACATGGCATTTTCACGTCCAATGGCTAAGTCCAAATCCATCTGTCTGTTTGTAGCTCACAAACAGACAGATATATTATTCCACATAATTTCCATTTAGTCCCCAAAGATTTTGCAATACCATGTAATGGAATAATAGGAATTGACTTCATAAAAACCTTTAATTGCAAACTAGACTGTGAACCAGAAAAGGATTGGTTCATATTAAGACCAAATAATCTAAAATACCCCATATACCATATGTCCCCATAAAATTCAGTTCCGGTAATAATTTAATACTATTACAACAACAATATGTATATGAGTATAATAGCCCTCTTCTATTAGTATTGAGTTTGATTATTTTAAAGGTTATTTGACAAGAAATAAAATATTTTTAATGAGGATAACAAATTTATTATTTTCTCATTTTCTTACCACTGTGCGCTTTAAGGGTTGGGCTTCGATTCTTGAGCGTTTTTTTAAAACGAAAGAAGCAACTCGGAGGCGGATTGCAAGATCCCAGAAATGCTTAAGCTTTTTCCTCGCTTTGTTGTTGCTATTTCCGCCGCGCGCACAAACACACACTGATGCTGCCGCACACGCACACTAAAACAAGAAATAAAATATTTTTAATGAGGATAACAAATTTATTATTTTCTCATTTTCTTACCACTGTGCGCTTTAAGGGTTGGGCTTCGATTCTTGAGCGTTTTTTTAAAGCGAAAGAAGCAACTCGGAGGCGGATTGCAAGATCCCAGAAATGCTTTAGCTTTTTCCTCGCTTTGTTGTTGCTATTTCCGCCGCGCGCACAAACACACACTGATGCTGCCGCACACGCACACTAAAACAAGAAATAAAATATTATAAGCTTTTTCCTCGCTTTGTTGTTGCTATTTCGATGTGGTTTTTGTTGTTATCTGCCGCACACGCATACTAAAACAATCACGCAATTTATTTTTTATTCCGTTTCGCTTAAACACGTCCGTCTTCTACGAAAGTACTTTTTTCAAAGCAGTAGAGCTGGAAAAAACATCGGCGATGTATCGATACATCGATGTTTTTCGAAAATCGGGAAACATCGAGGTTTCAAAACATCGATGTTCGATGTTTCCTCTTTACCCATCACTACTTGGCAGGAAAAAATCTTGGTAAGCTGAGCACGTTTTTTGTAAGAAACTTAAGTAAATAAATTATAGATTACAGTCTGATTCCGAAATTGGTTTGATATTGGTGTTGGCGGCGCTCAGAAATGGAGAAGGCTTTGAAAGAGCAGAATAACAATGGTAACTAGAGCTATTATTTACAATCATATGATTTGTAATGTAACTTTTGTCCAATATAGTTGCCTGTCAAGAGGAAGAAAGAGACAGTACGGTCCCAAGTAAGCGGAAAAAATATGGGAAGTCTTCTGTGTGGAACTTTTTTAACAAATCGGCTGATGGCAGGACAGCCAAATGTATTAAATGTGGCAAAACGTACCAAACAAGTGGCAATACGACAAACTTGTCTTGCCACTTGAAAAACATTCATCCTAATTTAACAATTAGTGAATTGCCACAAATACAACAGCCGTCAGTCCTTTCATTTATGGAGAAAAAGTACGAAAAGTCGTCGAACCGAAAACAACAATTGGATAGTGCCTTGTTCTATTATATTACATCCGACTTGCGCCCTTTCACAGTGGTGGAAAATAAAGGCTTCCGCAATTTTGTAAACCTCCTCGATCCAAGGTATGAATTGCCTTCACGTACCACCTTAAGAAATGTTTCGATGGCAAATGCATACGAAGAAAAGAAGGCCAGGTTGTACGCCTTTTTACAAGACGTCAAGCACTGTGCAATCACTTCAGATTGCTGGACGTCAAGGGCCAACGAGTGCTACGTTACTGTGACGTGCCATTTTATAACTGCGGATTTCGAATTGCGCAACGCTGTTTTGTCCACTGAGAAGCTCCTCGACGAAAGGAGCCATTCTTCCGAGAGTATTGCAAACTCAATACGCACAGTACTCGAGGAATGGAGCCTTTTAGGAAAGGTCACCGCTATGGTCACAGATAACGCCAAAAACATGATAAAAGCATGTGAGATACTGCAAATAAGACATATTCCATGCTTTGCGCATTCAATTAATTTGACTGTCCAGGACTGTTTGGCTTCAGAAAAAATTAGGCCCATTCTTGAAAAATGTAAGCGCATTGTTACATTTTTTAAAAGTAGCACAATTGCGTATGCCAAATTTAGAGAGGCCCAGGAATGCGATCGTCCCTATAGTCTTAAACAAGAATGCCCTACACGGTGGAACAGCGCCTATTATATGGTGGAACGAATTTTAAACACCAAGGTTGCCATCGCAAGTGTGCTTTTAAACACGCCCAAAGGGCTAATGCCCCTAACTTCAGATGAAATATCCATTCTGGAGGACCTTAAAGAAATACTGTCACCGTTTGAGCACGCAACGGTGCACACATCCGCCAGTACTTATGTCACAGTGTCTTCAGTGATTCCGGTTATTTGTGGAATTTTACACAATTTAAACTCCACAAAAACCAAACTCCAGACTAAGGTGGGTCGAGATGTCTGTGATGACATACTTCAAGGGGTCAATACAAGATTGGTCCCCTATGAAAATCATACGGTAACAAGAATGACCACGATTTTAGACCCTCGCTTTAAAAAGGAGGGATTTTGGAATCCATTTAATTCCTCCCAAGGAGTTAAATCATTAGAGGATGAACTGTCGCACATCAATGCTCAATCAAAAGCTTCCACATCTTCAAGCCCGCCAACACCAGAATCCACAGCAGAGTCCAACCAACTATTCAGTTTTTTACAAACAAACAAAATTCAAAAAATCCAAACCGGTCGCGTGGATTCCATATTAGCTTTGAGACAATATTTAAATGGTACTAATTTGGAGCCTGCACAAAACCCTTTGGATTATTGGAAGGTAAAAAAAGATAACAATTTAGATGGTAACCAACTTAAAATCCCATTTCTTCTTTTAACAGATATCAAATGACAACGCTTTCAAAACATGCGTTTTTAAATACTTCTGCGTTCCGGCCACCTCTACTGAAAGCGAGAGGATGTTCAGTAAGGCCGGGCTTATTATCAGCGAAAAGCGAAGCTCGCTTAAGGCTAAAAACGTCAACATGTTATTATTTTTAAACAAAAATGACTGGATTTCTTAAGTTAAGTTATTCTTTTGAGTAGAACTCGATATTGTTTTTTTTATTTTAATTTTCATTGAATTGTGATTTAGTTTTTATTTTGGTTTTTGAAGGAAAGAAAAGAAATATAAGCTGAATATATGGATCTCAAATAAAGCCTCATTATTTATCAAGACCTTTAACAAATTTGATTTATTTATGGTATTGATTAATAATATGATATGGAGAAAAATACATTTTTTCAAAATCACACCTTAAAATAATTCGATGTATCGATACATCGATGTTTTTTTCTGAAAAACATCGAAACATCGATGTAGGGAAACATAGATTATTTTCCAGCTCTACAAAGCAGTTCTGACGTAGCGTCGCAGGCTTTTTATAATTACTGGCGTGAGAGAAAGAGAGGCACATATGTATGTTTCATAACCTTTCGGCAGTAACAAGAACGCGCAAGCGCAAGCAACTTTTGAACAAAATTTATGAAATATTTGCAGCCCTGTAGTTTGGCGGTTAAGGAGGATCTACTGCTGCAGGAGCTGGAGCAGCAGTTTTCGTCTTAGGAAACACCCGCACATGGGTAATGACGAAACTTGAGCCGGAGGAACTAGCCCGTATTGTCCTGCCCCCGAAAAAAAATTTCACTTTTTTTTTTTTTTTTTTTGAGGGGGTGCAGACACGCATTCATTAAATTAATTAGTTTACTTACGTTTTCGTCCATTTTTAAGAGTTTCGACGAATTTCGACGTATTTTTAAAGCTTCTTTTTGTTTTCACTTTTTAAATTTTAAAGCCCTTAAAGCGTTTCAACGAAATAAAGTTTTTTTGTTTTCACAAAGAACATTTGAATATTTACTTGTTCAAAATGTGAACACCTTGCGAATTAGTGCGGCAAATATAAAATAAATTATGTACAGTCACAGGGAAAGCTTAAAATTGTAAAGAATTTAAACATCTAATAAAACTAATAATATTATGGTCATAATAGCTTATTTATATATTGTAACAAAAGTGCTCTTTATTATACAAAATCTTATATTTTGATTAGCGTCAGGAAGCTGTCCAAGTGCTTGCTGAGTAAACGCTTTCCCAAATATTCATACATATGTACGTATGTACATATGTGTGTATTCTGTCAAATAGAGCTACCTGTCACTTTGATTGTCTGAATTGTGAAAGGAGAAAAAATAAAATAGAATACTTATTAAGGAATAATACAATTAAGCCAATGGACTGCTACCGACGAGCCGGCAGTCGAGTCTGCCTCACCTATTTGGTGTCATTTGTCCTGCTTTCAGTGTTTTTCTACTACTTAATGGCGTATAACGGTAGTAATAAAAGGGGAATAATAAGGCTGCAAGAGGACCTGGACCATTTATCAGTAAGGCAGTATGTGTTTACTTTTTCATAGAGGAGTTCCCAAGATATCTATTTCAGCACATGCTCCGAAAGCAACAGGTTGATTGCAAGGAAGCCCATATCTCTCAACACGACACGAACGAAAGACCGAAAGCCATCGCGTCAGGGAGATGCGACAAGCGGGATGTCACCGAATATGTGGACACGCTGATCAAGCGTAAAATCGGACACCTCATGGACGACGTGTACAATTTAAAAAATCAGATCATAAACGCTGATTGTATGGCTCGGAAGGAACAACCCATTTCTGCGAAAGAGTTCGCACATGTGGTTCCGAATCGCATTAACTTTGCTTGCGAAGCGATGGGTGCCAGAATCATTCATGTGATTGCACGCCCCATTGGTGGCACCAATATGATCAAGAGGTTTCTGGGCCTAGAATTTAGTGCAAATCCACCGGTAAATATGCTGCGTCCCAGCCTAGCTCCAGGAGCGTGTTTCGGCTTTAGTGGCAGCCAAGCAACGGTGGTCCTGCACTTGGCCAAACCTATACTTGTAGAGGCTATTGCCCTGACTCACGTATCTAGAGAAATGACCCCAAGTGTGTGTGTTGACAGCGCTCCCAAGGACTTTGACGTGTATGTGAGTCTTAATCGTCCTTGTTTTAATTTACAATAACAATAACTTGCACAAGGGTTTGCCCGCGGATAGCTCCAAACGGAACTTATTAGGACAGTTAACCTTCAACAACGACGCCAATAGGCGTACTCAAACTTACAATGTCAACAGCAACAGTTTCTATCCGAAGTTGGTCTTAGCTTTCCGCTCCAATCACGGCGCCAATTCTACTTGCATATACCGGTTAGTAGACCAAAACGATTATAAGCTTACGAAATGCATCGTATTCTCATTTGCAGCTTAGAAGTGTACGGAAGACCACAGTAATTCTAACTATTCTAAGTACAGCTCAACGATGGATATATGTGTTATAATTTTAAAATGTAAGATTGCCAAATGTCATTAAATATAACGCAATCGTTTCAATGATTTAGGGAAGCTTTATAAGTGGATTATAAAGAATCGATCCAGTTGCACCAATTCACAATAAATGACAATTTTTTAAGTATTCAGAAAAGTGTAAAAGCTACCTTAAATAAATTAAATATTTTTTTATATATGTTATTAGAAAAGAACTTAATCTGGTTAACTATAGAAAGGCCTATTTCCTATCATAAAAAAATAGTTTATATAAGAATTAAAGCTTAAATTCATTGAAATGTTGTTATAAAACAAGATTTGACCTTTTCTGAGAAAACCAATAGAAAAAAAAAAAATATTCAAGTTATCGAAGATTTTTTTACAACAAAACTTTAGCGCGCATATTTAAATTATAAAATAATCAATAAAAAAATTAGCTTATTGATGTTTTGAGGCATCAATTTGGAAACGGCAAAATAGTAATCTTTGTGTTGTCGAGATGTATAGATAATATGCACTTAAAACTTGACATTTTGTACATGTCAGCGTATATTGAAGAAAAAATAAAATAATATGGGTTTCCCTTGACTGAGGGGAACTACACAAAAAAAGTCAGCCCCTAAATTTTCAACCAAAAATAATCCCATGCCCTTGCATTACCCTACATATAAAATCTTAAAAAGGTTTTAAGCTACTGGACCTTTTCTTTAGCAGTCTAAAACTTCGATTTATCCGACATTTTTAGCTTTTTCAATGACCTGAATATCTTGCTAAAAAATAAGGATGGCATCCGCATAGTTGTTATCTTGATCGATATGAAGCATAACTCGACCAAATACAACAAGAAAGGAAGCTAACTTCGGCACGCCGAAGATTGTATACCCTTGCAGATTGATTTTGATATTTATATTAAAAACTTAAATGCTGAAAACACACACAAAACAGAGTTTCATTAAATGTTACCTATACTTATTATGTTTACAGTTACCGATCGCTTCTAAGGAAGCTATATGATATAGTTGTCCGATTTTTATGAAATTTATACCAAAATACTAAAAAAAAAAAATAATAAAAAGCTCATATCTCAGATTATATAAAAATACGTTGAAAAACAACGAAGTTATTTTTTTTCCTATTAATTTCCCGATCGTTCCTATGACAGCTATAAGATATAGTCGTCCGATTTTCATAAAATTAAAACCGAAATAATACCTTGCAAGGGTATAAAAATAAGCAAAACATAAACGATTTAACACAAATGTTTACACAGGCTTTACATAAGCCAAATTTCTATAAATTAATCAATATTTTAACAACTGAAAAAAAAATTATTTTTTTAAATTTATATTTTATTATTTAAATCCAATATCTAAAGAGTGTTTTATAAATGTATACACAGACCTTAGCCAAATTGAAGAAGTCGTGGGTAATTGAACAGACAGCTCTCCTAAATATTTGATATTATCGGATCACCCAGTTCCCTTTAGCCTCATTGTTTTTATTACATTTATTAATTCTTCAATATTTTTAAATTTTCGAAATCGGCCCACCCAGTTCGCCAAAGTACGTTTTTTAGTGTACTTCGGCACCCTGTATCTCGGAAAGTTTATCGGACCATATTGTTTATCCGGATGTTAAAAAAGTTGATCCTCACGCTGTTTCTTGCGCCCGGCCGTAGTATCCCTTCTAAAATGTAGATGGCGACACCTGCATATCTTGATTGGTAAGCGATGGCAAAACGCCATCTAGAAGTACATATTCAAACTGAAATCTTGAGTGGTAAGCGATGGCAAACCGCCATCTAGAAGTACATTTTCAAACTGAAATCTTGAGTGGTAAGCGATGGCAAACCGCCATCTAGAAGTACATTTTCAAACTGAAATCTTGAGTGGTAAGCGATGGCAAACCGCCATCTAGAAGTACATTTTCAAACTGAAATCTTGAGTGGTAAGCAATGACAAAACGCCATCTAAAAGTACATATTCAAACTAAAATAGTCGTAAAGAGGCTCATAATAACTGTTCCCATTTTATGGGTTTTCCCCCAATATTGAGTGGGTTTTTTGTTTAAGTCCTAAGGTGAATATTTAGGTGGAAAAATTTTTAGGGGGAAAGGGAAAGGTGGCTTCAAAACCGAAGTACAAATTGTTTTTTTTTTTTAATTTTGGGGACATTTGGATTTTTAGGGGGAAATTTTAACTATTTTAAATAATTGTATTTTTACATTAATAGAAAAAAAAACTGAAAATATAAAAAAGTCGTACATTTATACATAGCATATAATAATTTGAATTTGATAAAACTAAAACAAAAAAAATTTAATCGTATAAAATGAACTATCAGGCCTGTTCTAGTTTCCACTCGGAAGTGAATTTGATAACATTTGCGGATTTCCCTTTAACATAAGCGAATTTCCCTTGGTGATTTAAGGAAATTTTTTAAATTTCCCTTAAATTCCCAAACAAAATCAGCTGGTCGCTTTCAACAAAAGGAGATTCCCTTGTCTAAGATTTGCTAAAAGGGGCTGATAAAATTTTGGCCCGCTGTAGTCTCCAACTCATAGATAGTAATGAAGCACTAATTTAAATAATAAAATCTAAGGAATAAGCATTAAGACAGGAAATAAACATTTTGAAATATTTGTAATTGCAATCAGCTGTTCTGGTGGCAAAATGCTCGAAAGTAGAGTTGCCGAGGGTTTAGAAAAAATTCCCTTCGCATAAAATTTAGTTCAGTTTGTGGATTGAATTGGCTGGTATTTTAAAGAAAAACACTTTTTCTTATACTTTACCTAATAGCAGATATTTTAATTGTAAAACAACATAAAAAGTAATTGTTCGAAATTAATCTTAAATATATGTCGTTTTTTTTTGAAACGCTGACAACCCTTAAATGGTCCCTCTCAAATACGACACAGCGGCAGCGGATTTGCAATAATGTTGAAGGTTAGAATCGAACTGATTTTAAGGTGCACCCACAAAATAATTATTTATAAATCAAGTACTTTAGTATTAGCTAATTCAATTATGCAATAATGTTCCCAAAACCTCTAGGAATATATTACAATTAACATTTGTAATATACATAATCGCATTGTATTTTAAAATAATTAATTTCTGATTTTGCGGATTTGAATCCGCCGGCCAAATGGCACACGGAAAGTTTCCGTGCGTTTCGTCTGCAAATTAACAGAGACTTAACAGAGGGAAATACGAATCCGTAAAAATTTTTCGGAAGTGAACACTAGAACAGGTCAGGGAAATCCGAATCCGAATAAATTTTGCGGAAGTGGAAACTAGAACAGGCCTGTATATTTTCGATTTGAAATATCTTATATAAATATATGTTATGCTGAAAAAAAACAAAGTAATACCAAGTTTCATTACATTTACCTACACCTCTTATATCTACAGTTTGACAGTTACAGTTTTAGATATTTCTCTGTTATATACAGGCCTGTTCTAGTTTCCACTTCCGCAAAATTTTTTACGGATTCGTATTTCCCTCTGTTAAGTCTCTGTTAATTTGCAGGCGAAACGTTCGGAAACTTTCCGTGTGCCATTGGGCCGGCGGATTCAAATCCGCAAAATCAGAAATTAATTATTTTAAAATACAATGCGATTATGTAAATTACAAATGTTAATTGTATTTTATTCCTTAAGGTTTTGGGAACATTATTGCATCATTGAATTAGCTAACACACTTGATTTATAAATAATTATTTTGTTGGTGCACCTTAAAATCGGTTCGATTCTAATTTTCAACATTATTACAAATCCGCCGCCGCTGTGTCGTATTTGAGAGGGACCATTTAAGGGTTGTCAGCGTTTCAAAAAAAATCATATATTTAAGATTGATTTCGAACAATTACTTTTTTTGTTGTTTTACACTTAAAAGATCTGATATTAAGGTAAAGTATATGAAAAGGTATTTTTCTTTAAAATACCAGCCAATTCAATCCACAAACTGAACTAAATGTAATGCGAAGGGAATTTTTTCAAAACCCTCGGCATCTCTACTCGCGAGCATTTTGCCACCAGAACAGCTGATTGCAATTATAAATATTCCAAAATGTTTATTTCCTGTCGTAAATGCTTATTCCTTCGATTTTAATAATTAAATTAGTGCTTCATTACTATCTATGAGTTGGAGACCAGCCGATTTTGTTTGGGAATTTAAGAGAAATTTAAAAACTGTCTTTAAATAACCAAGGGAAATTCGCTTATGTTAAACGGAAATCCGCAAATGTTATCAAATTCACTTCCGAGTGGAAATGAGAATAATTATTCAAGTTCTAGTTTCGTCCGCAGCATGTTATCGACAGAGAAAATGCAATAAATAAGGAAAATTACCAAAAGTAGCCGAATCATTTTAAAAATAAGCTAGATTTCTAGCTAATTGCATTTCACTAAATCTTATAGCTTTTGCATTTTTAAAATAGCTAAATGTGGAATAAAATTGCTAAATTGGCAACACTGATCGAAATCAGTGATCGTGTTGTTTTGGTGTGACCGTAGTCGTGTTACCAAAATAATCCAAGCCAAATTACACTCTTTCAAGGTTCTAATGAAGTAGCTAAATAATGAAAACTGCATTAGAGTGTCATACGGCCATTGATGGCTACAAAGTAATCGATAGTATGTACAATCGACAATCGAGTTCCAACTTGGTATCGTTATTGCGCTGCCGTCAAGGGAATGGATTTTCGTGAAATAAATAGACTAAACTGGCGCTTGCATCTGACCAACAACAACAATCTCGTTCAGTACACTGCGATCAATAGGTACAGCGATCCTGATGCTGATGCATCGGGCGAACGCCACGCAGAGGAGCTCCTACGCAAACAAATCGATTGTGCGACGGGGGCAACAGCAAGAATGGGTACTAAACAAAAACAGCCAGCAACAACTCTGGTGCAGTCCGTAGAAGCAGAGGATTGTGGGGGTGGGTGTGGTATCGGAATTGGAGCAGGCGAATGCGCCGCGGCTGCAATAGTTGCAAGCGAATGCGGCGGTGATAAGGTGAATGTGATTTTCTTCTTTTCCATGTCTATATGTATGTGACAACTTATCCATACTTATTCCTTGTTTCTGCAGGTTGGAGGCGCGACCTACTGCGATTTTGAAATAGACTTGGCTGATGGATATGGACAGGCTGCCGCAGCTCTCTCGCCCACCGATGCGGTAGGAGCCGGGGTCGGGGGCCTTAGCTCCAGTCGCACCTCTATTAACAATTCAACCGAGAATCTAAGCTATGCCAGTGACAACTTTTACGGTGACGACCTTATTTTGCTGGATGATGACGACGATGTCGAGGCGGAGGAGATATCACTAAACTCAGACGATTGCGTTTACGCCTATCGAGGTGACGGGGCGGAGTTCGACCAAGCCCTGGAGGCCACTGCAATGGGCCGGGGAAGGCAGCACCAGCTGGAAATTGGCCTTGGGCCCAGCACCACTGGTGGTGCAGGGTGTGGCCTGATATGCGGAGACGACGAGACAGAGTTCCTAGAAATGGACTTTGAGCCGGACCCATCGTCGGAGCTGGAGTTTGCCGGCGGAGGAGCTCAGAATCTGGGATCAGCCTTGCCGCAGGCCAATCTACTTTTAATGCAGCGAGACTACAGCCAAATGAGTGGCGTCGTAGGGGCGACGCCCACGCACGGCAGGCAGCTCTACAGCTCCCCCATTGACGATTTTCCGCTGCAAGAAGATATCCTGCAGCAACAAAAGCAACGCCTGAGTAAAAAATTTGCCCGCATTAGCTTGAACTTGGATCAGATCAAAGACGGAGGGAGAGGCGGTGGATGCGGGGAGCATATCGACGAGACAATGAGCGGCGGCGAAGAGAAGAAAGTGGACACCAAACCCGGGGGCGAGTCATCGTCCCAGGCGCACTCTCTGCCAAGCACATTGTACACGAGTGCTAATTTCGGAAGGAGTACCAGTGTCCCCAGCCACCATGCAGAACCTAAGTTGACGGGAGCAAAGCCAAAACGGCTGTCCCATTCTTCGTCCGTGATGTCGAAAAGCAGCGCCAGTGCCTCCACGAAGTCGCGCCGCTCTCAAAACTCGGCCAGTTTCGATGAACGCTGTTACAGCTGCACCGATTTTCGGGCCTCTTCCAATCAGCATCACCAGCAGTCAGCAGCAGCGCAGCCAGGTGCAGAACAAGGTGCAGCCACCATGCTTATGGCTGCTGCGGCCATGGTAGCGCTAGCTTCTTCCCCCTCGTCTATAGCCCACTTAGACAGTGGTAACGAAGAAAACTGTTTGGACTGTCTTGAAAAGGAGTTTCTGGCAAACACCATCGGCAAGGCCCTAGATCCGAGCACGTGTCCGAAGTGCCGGAGGCGAACCGGAGCCCGTGGAAGCTGCATGTCACTCTACACCCGGGCAGAGCAGACACGATGTCGCAGCGGTTCGCCTGGATACTTTGATGAGGGCGGTAGTCTATTTGCCGGCTGGCACAGCTCTTCGGGTGTCGGAAATAGCAACCAAAGGTTTATTTCGTGTGATAATAATTTCTCCAGCGGCGTTCAGGTGAGAGTGTGCTTTGTGAACCTAAAAGAATTAATTTGCCAGGAAAAAATGATTTTCCCTTATTCAAACCGCAGATGATTAAGAAAAAAATTTCGGCCGCGCCTCTAGTTACTCGTATATCGACGGATGGGACGTGCAACGAGGAACACCTAGTGCAGGCACTAGACAATCTGCACGTGTCATATGACCAGGCGCTATTGCGAGGCTACTTTGAAAACTTGGTCGCGCGGCGTCACGGCGAAGGCAGTGGGAATCTCAAGCAGTTGTTGTTGCAGAACTCAAAGCGCCAAGGGAATCATCGCAAGCTCAAAAAGCTTATCGAGCTGGTGACCCAGCACCAGCTAATTGTGCAATTTAAGCCGGTTCGTCTTCTATTATTGTTAAAACATTTCAACATTTTTCATCATTGCTATTCCTTACCTACTTTTACAGGCCAAGGAATGTCAAACTGATCTTGTGCCTGTAAAGGTGTCTGATATACTGGAGGCCTGGGCATGCAAGCGCGATCTTTCTATGTTGCGGCAACTAGATGCGCGCTTTCATCGCGCAAATGTGATAGGTAAGATTATTTAATAATAATAATATTTAATAATAATAATATTTAATACCGAGCTTAAGAGTTCAAACCAACACTTGACGTATTTCTTGAATTGGTTCTTCACTCCGTTTTTCTCATTTCCTAGTAATATAATGGAAAGTTTAGCGTGTTGATGGTTATAGTTATTTTATAAAATAAATTTACAATACGACAGAAACATTAAAAAAGTGCGCGAAAAGTTCGGTTTACGGAAAATCCGTCTCTATTGCAAGGATTCGGATGTGTGTTCGCGATCGCGAGAAATGTCCATATGTTATTAAGGGACAAATAAATATTTGTTAAGCTGAAAAATAATTATAATTGGCGTCTTACTGCCCTTATATACTAAGTCTTGCGTCTTTGTCAGCTAATTATTAGGTGTACAAGTAGATAACCGCCGTTTTTTTCATAATTTTATTCCCAAGCTTTTTAGGCGAAGGGAAATTGATTGCTGAGTCACACCCAAGGAAACCGCGAGTTCTTGTTGTATCTGACAAGAATCTTCACCCAGCAGAGGCTCCAAATCCGCGCCTTCAAACTTTTCCACAGGACCCGGTCGATCCTTGTCTTCCACGTCATACTCGTCATTTTTAAACTTCTCACCATGTTCTTTCACTCACACACGATTCACCATAAGTTTCTACGAGCATTCGACGCGCTTCAGATGCCGATTTTTTCGAATTGAACGCGAAAAGCAAAATCTCCCGCAAATGACGCTTATTCGGTTCGAATTTCGACATTTTCGTGCACCAACAAAATGATAGACAATAAGAATACACGAACGAGACAATGTAGAGTTGTTGACCGATATTTTAGCTCGCCATTTGGCGTTCCCGATCAAAATTTCTCACCGTTTTGTGAAGGTGGCACCACCTAGTCGAAAACGGCGGTTTTCTACTTGTACACCCAATAGAAAGACGAATTTCATGGTTGCATTTGTATTGCTAAAAAGCATCAGTAATAGGCTAAATATCTTTTATAAATATTATAATTTATTATATAATCGGGATTTACAAAAAAACTTTCCCGATTTTCGTAAAAAAAAAAAAATATATTCTAAAAAAAAAAAAAAAAATTAACACCGTGCCACCTAATTAGAAAGATTTGAAACTTGTAGGGATATGTAGTGTTTTCTAATTATTTTCCACTTTTTTGTCATACTATTATTTATAAAGCCATTTTTGATTGGTATTAACAATTTTTGTTGTTAAGAAGTCCTCAAACCTGGTCAGGATTAAGTCAAGTTTGCTGACTATGTATTTAGCGAACATGTTCGCCGAATTCTTCCAGACTACATACTCACAAATTAATTTCGATATTAACTCGGAGTATTTTTTTCCACTTTCGCGCTCCAATTGCATTTTTATGCCTGTAATCAGTGAAGATGATGATGATGATGTTCTTCATAATCTCAGAACAATCAAACTTTCCTTCTCCTCTGGTCCAGATCTTGTACCTAGCTGTGTTCTGAGAAATTGTGCCAGCGCATTATGTAGACCACTGTCTAGACTTTTTCAGTCATCATCATTCAAGCATTCGTTTTTCCCCGAAGTTGGGAAAGAATCTTTTATTATTCCGCTTCATAAAACGGGCAGTAAATCTAATATTGAACACTATAGAGGTATAGAAAAACTTTGTGCATTTCCCAAATTATTCGAATTTCTAATTACTACTTAGCTTCAGCACCAATGTAGCTCAATAATGTCCTCCTCACAGCATGGCTTTATGAAACGCAGATCAACGTCTACAAATCTCCTTGAGTTTGTGAGCGTTGCCTTTTGTTGGCAAGCGTCTCCTCCACCTTGTTGGCGAATCAGCCAGTCGAACTCATGTGGGGGAGTTTTCTCCTCAGCCCAGGTAAGCTTTGCCTTCTCCTCTGGGGATAGGGCGGCCTTTTCCTGGAGCCGATCCTGGATGCGGAGGGCAGCCTTGTACAGCGCCTTGGCCTTCATTCCCTCGCTTGACCGCTTTGGCCTGTCCCTGCGCTGGGAGCTGGTGCCTGGTTTCGGTGAGTGGAGAAGCTGCAGGCTCTCAAGGTCCGAGTCTGTATTGACTATGGCACGTGAGCGGCTCAACTTCCCCTGCGTAGTTTTTTCGGCAGTAGCGTTGCAACTGACATGACCTGCTCCCGTTACATCAGAGGTGTAACCGCTGGCGACACGCTGAGAGGTAGCGAATGGTATCTTTTATGGGGGTACCGCCCACTTGCGTTTTATGCCGTCCGCCAGGCATCTCCACCCATGGCTAAGGGCTCACTTCCTTAGGCTTTTTAGGGCAGAAGGAGTTGAACCGTGGCCTTTGCTAGACACTCTATTATCGCGGACGGGAGAAAATGTAAAACTGGGAATGTAAAACAGTAACTGTCAAACTCTAAACATAATAAGTATAGGTAAATTGAAATAATATCTGCAAGGGTATACAGACTTCGGCGTGCCGAAGTTAGCTTCCTTTCTTGTTATTCGTGGATTTCATTAGGGTACATTTTTGTCAAAGCTCAAACTTGACCCTTTGAATTAAAATAAAAATATTCTACCGGTTTTGAAATATACAATAAAGTAGATAATCGATTATCGAATTAGATGGTAATCTGGTTTTAAAAATACGCGACATTGCGTGACAATCGAAACACAACAATTAATGCCCCAACAAGATCGAGTTTTCAAATTGGCTGGTAAGAATTAAGTATTAACATAACAATAAAGAAAATCGCAGCTTAACCATCTACCTATAGCTAAAACAGATTCTACAAATTCGGCTATTGTGCTTTCATGCATGAACATTAGCATGAGCATGAGCCTAAGGTATGTACATACAATGTATGCAAATGCAATCAATGCAACCAAAGTTAAGGGTGACAACAATTTCGCTTACGCGTAAACGTTCACAGATCTCTGAAGCCTACATAGAATCCGACATTATTTTTCCGGTGTCTCAATCGATTCTTGCTCTTCCTGGTTGATTGGAAACGCTGCCTCGCAAGGATAATCTGTCAATCATCCTCAACTTTTTCTTCATCCGTACCAATGTCAAAATCAATCAAATTCAAATCCGAAAGAGCTGACAGCATCACTTGTCGTTCCATAACTACAAAAGCAATTATTTGCACTTATGGATATACAACTTCCCTTTACCCTATTATGTCTATATTTTTATTTTTTTTAACAGAACAAACACTAAATATTCATATTTGGCTTTTCTTTATTTTGGCTTTCAGGAAAAGTCGGTCACATAGTGCGGCAGGCTACAGCGGCGACCTCCTCGACGGCTCTTGGTGCATCTTCCTCCTCAACATTCAAACGCGTCTTGCCCGAGTTTCTCATGATCCCACAGTATTACGAGAGTGGGGAGCTGACGCTTACCCGCAAATGTTAGGATAAGCTCGTCGCATACTCACTTCCAGTACACAGATTCGCAGTCACAACATTAAATTGTTCATTTACCTACATATGTACTATGCTAGATTGTTTTTTGTTAAGTTACTTAATGAACGCAACATTTCGGAGAATATTTACTCTGTACCCGCAGGGCTCAAGACTGGGTCGAAGCAGCTCCGAAACTATACAATTACTGTTAAATGAACAATATATTTTAGCATGTGTACGTTCATGGAGTAACCGGCATTGCAATATTTATATACTCTCTTTATCCATGTATGTATATGTCAAGAAACAAATACCCCGTCTCGTATATGCATAGCCTAGCTTGTATACAAGAAATCTAGATCTGAATAAATGATAAGTGTCTAAAATTACCACCAAGTACTCCACAACTTAAAAGGGGGTACCGTTCGGTACAAAACTAACCACTTTATATAAATTTTGTTGTGGCGAAATGGCTATTAATTGGGAAACCTACAACAAAATCAAGTATGCAGAATCGAAGCTCAATGACACCTGCTTAAAATGTGATTTCTTTATCTCTGATTGGATCTCGCCTGAGTTTTTGAAATTTGGTGATAAGAAAACGCGTTCTACCAATTTTTCGCATTATTTATTCTTAGCTTTTTGTCGTCGGATAACAGGCGCTTTATTTAAAATGTATTAAATTGTTTTCAGAAATATACAAAATTTATTTGAATCCAGAACTTGCTATCTAGCCGGAATAGTTTAAACATGGATGTCGCCGTCTAATTAGACCGCATTCGTTTCACGTGCTTTGTTATTGTTTCCTTTACGTTGAATGCTCTACAGTTTTAATTTCAGTTTAATGTTCAAAGCAACAAATAAATATTGTCAAAAATCAAAGATAAGCAAGGTAAAAACTTGGTAATATACCATGTGCTTGCAAAAGTGGCAATCATTTCCAATATTCAGAAATAAATAAGTCCTAAAATAATATACATGTATTTAATTGTAAAGTAGCTATTGTTCATAATTTTCATATTCTAAGCCGAATTTTTTAAGCTTCAATTCTGCATACAGATATATGCATACAAGTGTATTCTATAATTGTAAAGTCCTTGGTACAGGTGTATGAGTTACAGAGAAGCTTGTGTTGTCCTTTCATTCTAAATGTTCACAAAATCAACCGATATGAAAAAGAATATGTATTAGTTAAAAGGCAACTGTCCTAAGGTACTCCGTTGTTTTGCATTTTAATTATTAATGAAAGTTGGAAGTCAAAAACCAAATTTCGAATGGCTTGGCCAACTAAATTTTGAGTTAAAGTTTACCGTCTTGTAAAATGACAATTTCAGAAGAGCGCTTTAAATTTTTAGATGCTCATGCATCGAGTAAAAACGACCTCTGTTCAAAAATGATCGATGCTTAACTTTGACACGAATTTTCTAATAAAAAATACAAATGTTAAATACCTTACCCCTGGTGGCGCATCCCGACTACAAAGAATTTAATTTGGACCATTTAATTTAGCTTTTTAATAAAATTGTGTTTTATTAATTATTAACCTTCTATAATCTGCATGCCGATATTAGTCTGATCTCTAGTATCGGTTCTGGCGTCCGGTGGCATTGTAATAGCCGCCAGCACCGGGTCCAGGCGGTAGGCTGGCAGGAGGTATCGGCGGAGGGGGGGCCGCTGTTGCGGCGCCGTAGTGCGTCAGCAGCGGTTGCTGCTGGACGCTCCACCCTGGTGCGCCGGGGTAAGGGGGCATAGGCACTACAGGTGGTGGCGGTGGAGGAGGAGCGTGATACAAATGGTAACCGCCTGTTGCCTGACCATGTGGAAGCGACGGCAACGAGTCGCTAGAGGAACCCAAGGCGGGCACTGCACAGGCCAGCGACTTTATGATCTGAATATTGTTGACATCCAGCAGGCTTCCATTGCCACTGGCTGCTGGTGGAGGCGGCGGTGGCTGTGGCTGCGCGGCAGGTGCTAAGAGACCTGCTGACTGATTTGTCGGTTTGCCCAACGTGGGACTGTCCGCCCGACTGGGTGGCTTCTGAGGCGGACTGCCAGGCTGGTGGGCTTCCTTCTGGGTGGACTGATACAGGTCTAGCACCTGGTGGCAAATGTCTTCCAGTATTTCCATTGTCACGTCAGAGACGAACATGTCCCACCACCGCTGGTGCTGTGGCTGGCGGCCGTCCCAGTCCTGCACGGTGAACTTGCTGAGCTTGCTTGCCAAGTGGATAAGAGCCACAGCAATGATCTCCGGTTCCCATTGTAGGCAGACAACTGTGCTGAGCGAGTCGTTAACAAAATTCCACGCCATCTGTACCATCTTCTGAAGCTTTTGCTGGTCTCCCTTAAAGCACTTGGCGTACTTGAGCAGGAACGTGTACGGATGCTCCACCTGCAGATCGAATTTTATGGTCTGTAGCAGGATTCGCTCCAGCGTCATTACTTCCTCCTTGGGATCCTCACCGAAGGAGTAAAAGTAGTTGTCACTTAGTATTCCACGCGCCGTTTTAATGATGTCGCGGCACTTCTTAGGAGTCTCCTCCACCTTGCCGGCGAAGAACAGGCAGCAGCAGGCTGTCACATAGCGTGGAAAGCTTCGGAACGAGTGGAACATGTAAAAGCGGTGAAAGTACACTACACCGGTGGCCATTGTGTTGTGGCCCAGGCCCATTTTCGTGCCACACTCCATAATGAAGCGGGCGCCCTCTTTCCGGTAGCGCCGCTCAGTCTCAAAGGTGATTCCATCTAGAATCGAAGGTGTCTCGCGAAGTTCCTTCTTGTCGTAGTACCAACACGGCATGTCGTCGGCCGATAAGAGTTAGATTCCCGTTTGTGAAAATGCGTGTTAGGGGTGCAGCCAGGAGAGCAAAGTTAGCATGACAAGGTTGGTGAGGCAGTCGGAGCTCAGAGTGGCCTGCGATGTGCAGTATTAAACAAAAGAATTAATTCTATGGCTGGAATAAACTATATTATTACTTGTGTGCGACTTTAGAGATGGGTCGACTTCTGCCGATAGTATCGATCAATGGAGCTGCAAGAATATTAGGCGTATTCCATAAAGAGGTGGAAAAACATCGACGTTCATTGGCAACTATCGATGTTTTGCCGCAATACTTAAATCCATTTTTGGGACTGGGTTTCGGTTGAAAATTTAGGGGTGACTTGTTTTGTTTGTCCCCAATTGTAAAAGAAAAGTAATAATAGGGCGCAAATTAGTTATATTTATTAAATTATAAATAAAATACAAAAGGAATATAGTTGTGACCACTGTAGTTGTAATACTGGCATGACACTGCCGCATTAATTAGAGACTTCATTAAAGATTTGACAGCGCTATAGCGTTTTACACAAGTGCGAGCAAGACGACTATATGGCGCTCTAATGCATTAGAATAATGCATTAGCTACTTCATTGCCGCGATAATCGATAGATCAACATATTATATACTAGATACTCGATAACAAAATACGGGTTTAATGAAGAAAATTGTAATTGAAAAATGTATTAGCCAGCTCATTGACAGTATGGTCTCACAATGAGAATTTTATTTTTATATCATTTCGCTTGTTTTTTGAACTGAAAATATATTAGAAAATTAGCAAAAATAATATGTTTTGCGGTAGCAAGGTTCCTGCGCTGTAAAATTAATTAAAATTATTTTTTTTGTAATAATTAAAAAAATTTTAAGCATTATAGGTTAAAAACACAAATTTAAAGGATTCTGCATTTATTTTTGCAAGAATACTTCGAAGAGGAATTCAGAAAATCATAATAATACGCCGCGAATGGCGGCCGTTTTTTTGTTTACCTTTTACGGTCGGTGTGACCGTAGTCGTATTACCAAAATAATCCAAGCAAAGTCCAATCCAAATTTCACAAAATTACACATATAGTGGTCTCTTTCAAGGTTCTAATGAAGTAGCTAATTAATGAAAACTGCATTAGTGTATCATATGGGCATAACTGGATAAAGCTGGCAACCGGAATACAATGAAAGTTCAGATATACCAAATTAATTTTAAGAACTGTATTTGCTCTTATGAGCTATTGTTTAATTTGTTGCAAAACGGGACGTTTTTCAAAAAAATTTTGTGACGAAAAGGATAAAGTTAGCTTATTAAATTTAACAACTTATAATAACATAGGGACTTCATTAAAGATTTGAAAGCGCTATAGCGTTTTACACAAGTGCAAGCAAGACGGCTATATGGCACTCTACTTCATTGCCGCGATAATGCTGATATGACACAGCCGCATTAATTAGAGACTTCATTAAAGATTTGACAGCGCTATAGCGTTTTACACAAGTGCGAGCAAGACGACTATATGGCGCTCTAATGCATTAGAATAATGCATTAGCTACTTCATTGGAGCGATAATCGATAGATCTACATAAAATATACTAGATACTCGATAACAAAATACGGAAAAGTGTATTAGCCAGTTCAATAGAGCGCGAAACTTAAAGTGGTCTCACAATGAGAATTTTATTTTTATATCATTTCGCTGGCTTTTGAACTGAAAAAATATTAGAAAATTAGGAAAAATAATCAGGCCTGTTCTAGTTTCCACTTCCGAAAAATTTTTACGGATTCGTATTTCCAGAGGGAAATAACAGAGGTTAAGTCTCTGTTAATTTGCAGACGAAACGCACGGAAACTTTCCGTGTGCCATTTGGCCTGCGGATTCAAATCCGCAAAATCAGAAATTAATTATTTTAAAATACAATGCGATTATGTATATTACAAATGTTAATTGTAATCTATTCCTAGAGGTTTTGGGAACATTATTGCATAATTGAATTAGCTAATACTAAAGTAATTGATTTATAAATAATTATTTTGTGGGTACACCTTAAAATCGGTTCGATTCTAACCTTCAGCATTATTGCAAATCCGCTGCCGCTGTGTCGTATTTGAGAGGGACCATTTAAGGGTTGTCAGCGTTTCAAAAAATATCATATATTTAAGATTAATTTCGAACAATTACTTTTTATGTTGTTTTACAATTAAAATATCTGCTATTAGGTAAAGTATATGAAAAAGTGTTTTTCTTTAAAATACCAGCTAATTCAATCCACAAACTGAACTAAATTGTATGCGAAGGGAATTTTTTCTAAACCCTCGGCAACTCTACTTTCCAGCATTTTGCCACCAGAACAGCTGATTGCAATTACAAATATTTCAAAATGTTTATTTCCTGTCTTAATGGATCTCCTATGAACAATAATTTGCGGAAAAGTTAATGTAATTAAAATGCAATTACAATATTTTTGGAATTGGGCAATTATATTCATTCGCATGGAAGATGGAAGGGCTTAAAATAATACATATGTATAAAGAAGGCCATAATGGATAAAATGGGACAGATCCACAGTTCATTTATCGCCTTGCCGATTTCGAAAATCTCGATGCACCTGGCACAGGTTGTTTAACTGCCAGGCATTTCCCAATTTATCAACAAAGTAAGACCGCATTCTTTTTCCTCATAAAATTTCGAAGAACTAGTAAAAGGACTTTGCGGCAATGGCCTCCCAGCCATTGTTAATACAATTTAAAATAAAATGCCTTTTGTGGGCTAAATCCCATTTTATGGGCTTTGCCTTAACTGAATTTAATAATTCCACTTTCTTCACGCGGGAAGACAATTTTTGTATTCTAGAAATATTTTGTTCTCTCAATTTTCCCTTTATAACACCTTTAAAAATAATTCGATTGAATTATTTTAAGAGAAAATTCACAGCTGTTTAGTTAAGTGGTTCGCAACTAGAAATATTTTGTTCTCTCAATTTTCCCTTTATAACACCTTTAAAAATAATTCGATTGAATTATTTTAAGAGAAAATTCACAGCTGTTTAGTTAGTATTCGAGAAAACCCATCATAAGAATGTTCCTTTTCTTTCTCTCTTCGCTGCGTTTATATACCCTTGCCGGGTATTATAATTTCAGTCAGAAGTTTGCAACGCAGTGAAGGAGACCATTCCGACCCTATGAAGTATATATATTCTTGATCAGCATCAACAGCCGATTTTTCTACGCAAACTAGTCCCTCAGTTTTAAAGCTATCTCAATAACTTTGCAGATATTCATATAGAAAAAAAAAAAAATTATAACTTGGCTATTTTTCAACATAATTTGATCAATTTTTGAAAATATTATACTATTTTAGAATTTTGGTTTTAATTTTATGAAAATCGGACGACTATATCTTATAGATGCCATAGGGAAATTAATAGAAAAAAATTATAACTTCGTTGTTTTTAAACGTACCGGTAGATGTAGAGAAAATGTTAAGCTGGGAATGTAGAACTCTAACTGTCAAACAGTAAACAGCCGTTTTCGACGAAAACTATAGAATGTAGTTGTCTGATCTGGATTAGCCTAGGGATATGGAATTCCGATGGGTAAAACCTTATATTTAACAGATATTATCTACTAAGCTGAGAGAGCTGTTATTTTATTTAAAAAGGTCGAATGCCCAATAGTGCTGAGTGAAATTCATAGCATGAGCACAGGCTAAGGGTGCAACGACGCTGAGAAAGCCTTCATAGATTTGTTGCATTGTGGGCCCGATTCTTTGGGGTTTCTTTCAGTCGCTCCCCGAAGATCGCAGTATGGGATCTGCAAGTAGCTTAACCAGTTTCTTTGTTCACCTCATTCTTAGCTTTTACTTCGTCGTTTTTTCGCTGCCGGTTTCCCTTACTCGGCGTTCTCTCAAACGCGTCCAAGACACGTTTGCAGCTCCGGTGCGCTCCGCTCAGTCGCTCTTCGTTCGTTGCCATTGTCAGTTTGCCAGCGGAGATCGCGCGCTCTTGGCTAATAGCTTGGCTTGTTAACGTTAACTGTTTTGTCTACTTGTATGTATACTGGCAAGCTTTCTTGCCTCTCTCTGGCATAATATAATCCGTGTTCGGGCCGCGTTCACCTTTTGCTACAATTGTACACATATACAGAAAATGTAGCTCTAAGTGTCAAAGAAACCATCATCACAACTACAAAAAGAAAAAAAAAAAAAGAAAAACGGGCGTCGTAGGAAAAGTGCTTACCATTTCATTTTTGTTCATTTTCTAATACACATACGTATGTACATTTGTATATATGTACAAAGAAAACACGTTCGAACGTAAAAAAATTGCCCTGAGAAAAGTTATAAAATACCAAAAAGGTTATGCAGATATCTCCCCTATGTATACTCCCACGCTAAACTTTTACCTCTCTTCACACATACATACATATGTATAAATAATGCATACGGTTTCTGATTATATTCGGATCACAATTGGAATACTTTTTACGTTATACCCTGACTATAACGCTAAATAAGTAAGTATGCCCATGCATTTATACAAACATTTGTTAAGAATAAACCCTAATTAAAAAGAAGACACCAGTGACTATAAATAAAAATATATTAATAATAATTATAAAAATATATTTTTTGTGTTTTTCGTTTTATCTGTAATATTGGATCTTCGTCGTACAAATAATTTTGCAGATTGAATCGTAGATACACTTAGCCACGTTCACCAACTTTTGCCGAACATCTCATCTTTCGGTTGATTTTTGTACATATGTACATATATATATATTTATACATCGTTGTCTATGTTATTTATAATAAATTGAGGAATCAAAATAACAAAGTTATGATTATAGACATCCTTAACATGAAAAGTAAATTGGAATTAAGAGAGCAAAAGAAATTTTATTACTTATTAAATGGCTCAACATAATTAATTTTCTTCTGATTCTTGAAACTAATTTATTTAGGGTTAGTAATTGAGATTGTAATTTTTCTTTTCCCATAATGGCTTTTTGAAACATGTACATAAATGGTAAAGACAATGAATTAGTCTAGAGAGCAAAGACTAAATTTTATAAATTTGCATTACAGTACATAAAAATTGAATGCAAATACGTCGTTATAATACAGGTATGAAAAAATGGTGTAAAACCACAACTTTTTTCTTCATTAAGTATGCTGTGTTGTTCATTTCGCAGGCTGCATTAAAATTTTACTGAGGGTTGTTTCACAATATGATAAAAAATTTGATTGCGTGGTACTTGCATTGTTTTTGGCTCGGATTTGTTGCATGTTGCAAATCGTATTTTTGGCCGTAACACCAACTGACTCTCGGAGGCTTCGTAGCATGAACGATTTAAAAACAAGTACGAAAGTTGCAGTCATGTATGCACGACTGTGGGATACCCAAGTGGGATAAATCAAGTACAAAAACAAGATAGGAAACTGCCTTCGGCACGCCAAATTTTATACACCCTTTGCAGTGATAACATTCACCCTCGCCATATGTTATTAGATCTCAAACAAAAATCATTTTAATGGGTTCCCTACATTTTTCAGTATAGGTTTTTTCTTGATTACCTTTTAAGAAAATGTAATATAGAAATCAAAAATGTGTTCCATAAAAAACAAAAAAAGATAAATATATATATTTTTTAATTTTCCGTTTCTGGACACACGGATATGGCTAGATCAACGCGGCTGTTAATGCAAAAGTAATTTTTATTGGTTGTCCCAAAAGCTGCGCTCTTCAGGGCTTAGCGCACAGAACTATTAACTTTTTTAAGCCCTGTTGTTATAGGGTCTACAGGAATTCCCAACCGATCTTAATGAAATTTTAGAGTGGGGTCCCGGATACAATTTACCACATTTTGGATTTAACGTCATTCGTGTTAAATCCATTATTTTTTTTATATTAATATTAAATATTATAAATATCGTCTTTGGCATTTCGCCCTTTTAAATATTAGTTTTTTATAAATTAGAGCACAACTAACCAAAGTGAATTAGTGTCCATGCACGTTTTCCTCCAAAATGCTTGGGTATCTCACAGATGACAATTCACATTTATTCCTAGAGCACGCCGGAAAGGACGTGCAGAGTGTTTAATGTTGTTTCTTAAATAATCAGTTGAAACAGAAATATTTTAGCTAAATCGGTTTGCTATTTGCAACTTCTCCGTCAGCTTAGAAAACCGGTGCCTAAAGCATTCCCTCCAAATGACCTTGTTCCCACCGAACTTAATTTGCTAAAGTCAGCAACTGCCAACGGAAGAATGAAATGAAACCAGAGAAAAACTAAGAGCGACTGAAAGTCTGAATCAGAGCTCAGTTTAACTTACGATCTGGGTGAGCAAAGCTAGCTTTCTTTGGATCTGGAATACCTTTTTTATACCTTTATGCCATATTCCGCGATCCTTAGTGTGCCTTAGTCTGCTGCTTATATACATATACATATGTTGGCTTGGCAACTTCCTTCGTCTGATCCTCTATAAATCAGAAATTGAGGTTGAGAATGCATAATCGTCTTCTTTAAGTTCTACTAGCTGAACTTCAAAAAAACGTTATTTACATCCTGCAAGATACAAAGAAACAAAATAAGAGATAAACACAAAGGGAAGTCAAGTTCGGGATGCTTGTATTCCCTTGCAGTTTGCAGCTCAATACAGCTTAGTAGAAGGAGGAAGCTTCCTTTGGCTCGTTCCGACATATGTATGTATATAGCAGTGAGAGTATATAAATGACTATATGCAACGTTTCATTCAGATAGCTTTAAAACTGAGGGACTAGTTTGCGTAGAATCGGACAGACGGTCAGATGGACAGACGGACATGGCTAGATCGAATATATATACTTTAAAGGGTCAGAAAGATCTCTTTCACTGCGTTGCAAACTTCTGACTGAAATTATAATACCCTGCAAGGGTATAAAAATTCAATTGTGAACAATTTTTATAATAGTTGGAGTAGGTTTTTAAAATAAAAGCGAGTCCGACACGAAAAAGAAAGTCTGGAGTGTGAAAAAACCTAGCGAGCGTGTGACTTTTTGTTTAATTTTTTGTGAAACGCTCAAGTTTATTACACTTTAAACTTTGACTTGTGGTGTATACAAAGCTAAGCAACCAACAAAACCATGAAAGGCTTTAGGGGATTCTTTTACTTTAAAAATAAGGATGTGAAAAATAGAAAAAAAAAACATACATTTACATTTTGCCCAATGGGAACAAAGTTAGTTAAAACCAAATATATCTATGTATGCAAGTAACGGTAGAAGGAGCCATCTCCAACCCCATAAAGTATTTATATTATAAGCTAAGAAATCTCTCAGTTTTGGAGCTATCTAAATTAATCTTCTCAAATAGCGCTATTTATTATAATAGTATATAAGAAGGTTTGGAAGGGCTATATCGGACGAAAATAACAGTTTTGTACTTTGTATATATGTATGTACGTTACCTGTAGGGCATAATGGTATTATAGCTTAGTATGAAACGAGAATGTAAAAGCAAGACTATAAAGTACACGTCGTACAGTAGCGCCTTTTCTCAATTAGCGTTGCAAAAACCAATATCTTTTGAACCAAATAAGACAATCGAATAATTAAGAAATATATATTTTTTATTTAAGTTTTTATCTTTATTTTTATGAATTTACTCAAATAAAAATAATTTGAAAACTGAACAAAAATATTTTAGTTTATTTTTTGGAATGTATGAAATTGTGTCGGTATTTTGGTATATTTAACTCTGAGTAATCTTGGTTTATGCCGCAGACGCAGCTTGACGAAAGTTAATTCTGGTTCAGGAAAGATCCACGTATGTATGTATGTAACTTATAGACATAGTGTAGTCGATGGCTTACATCGGCGTCAGAAGGTTTAGACTACTTTAGGCATAAAAAGGTGACAAAAATTTACACCTGGTAGGTAGCGATTTACCTGTACAAGCCCAAACCAAAGTGTCGTTTTTTTAGGTTCTCTAACAGTTTATAAATGTATCTATTATTTAAAACTATGACCATTGGTTTCATGGTTTTTGTGTAATATTACCTGAAAGTCGACCAGTTTACCCATTCTTTTGTATGATGCAAAAAAAAGGAAAGAAAGTTCAACTTTGAATGCTCATATCTTCTAAAAAAAAATTAAGTTTATTTTATTGCAGATTCTGAATCTTTGCAAAATTTCCTGTCACAATATTTAATCCTACGAATATTGTAGATTACACTCTGGGTGCTCATCGCTACATCGTACTCTTCTTAATTTAAGTACGAACACACTTAATTTTTTGTATCCCGAAAATGCTTGATTCAATCTTAAGTTGGCTTAAAATAAAATAAAAAGGAAAATTCGGTTTAATCCAAACTAGAACGACTTCAAAATCGTAATACTAAGAATTATTAAATTAAGATCCTGTTTTTCCTAAACTTGTTGTGAAAGTTTTTTTTAATCTGTAATTATAATTATAGTTATATAAATTCTTATAAAATCACATAAATTAGTACACAATTCTTATTAAAAGGAATTTACATTTCTTGAATCCCGGTCAGTCCGCTTAAGGGGGGGGTAAGGTATTTAATTTTTTTTCGTAAATTTTTTAAAAAATTTAAATTATTTTAAAGGCTCAGTATCTTGTGTCCAAGTTTTACATCGATCGAAGGAAAATTGACGAAGTTATGCAGAGTTGAACGAAGGTCGTTTGGTGTTCAATGCATGAGAATCACAAAAACGCTATCCTGAAAAATGCCATTTTGAAAATAGGTCCTGGACCAATCGGTTTGAAATTTAGAACATAAATTCTATAGGTAATTGTATAGATACTCACGTCGAGCTTTTTTTAATTTTTTATTTTATTATATTTTTTATTTAACAAATTAACTAATATTTTAAGTCAAAAATCGGGGTTTTGACTTCAAATTTTATTAAAAAATAGGGAAAAATGTTTAAATAAAAACGCTTAGTGAATACCTCGGGACACTTATCCTTTAACGAATGAGGTATAATTTTTTTAGATCGGATGTTTCTGTGGACAGTTAGGATGTACACCGCAAACAAATACAAAATTTATCAAAAACTGGCCGCTGAGGCGAATCTAACACTAATGTCGCGAACATGAGTCTTACAATTTCAGTGAGAGAGCAAAACAAATATGTAATTTTTTTTCTCGGAATTTTTGGGATTATTTCTAATTTTTTAAGAATTTTGTTTAGTTTTAAGAATTTTCATACTTTAATTAAAAATGTTTGGAATTATTTTGTCGTTTCAATTCCAATAAAATCATGCCAAATAAGTTTAATTTTTTCGAGTAATATTTTTATCTGTGTATTTATTAGACAATGAAGTTTCTGTGTATTAAAATAAAAACAAATATAATATAATATAATATAATAATATATTTAGAAGGACTTTTTCGATTAACGATCAGATATACATACATAGCTCACAATCAGACCAATTTACACAATGCTATGGCTTTTGTTATTGAACTTTGGGTGACCAGTCTTGTCAAATCGCAAAAGCATACCAGT